GGGCCTCCTGAAAGCCTGGCTGCTTAGGCTCCCAGCATCTCTGTGCACGTAGCTTGGAAGGAAACAGATCAAATGCTAGCCTCCTAGCTTGCATTCTCCTGCCCTAACTCCTAAGTTCTCATTGTCTTCTTGAGGAAATGTTTGTAGTTTATCCGGTATGCCTCTTCGTTCACTAGAGAGAGAACTGGCCCTAAGACCTAGGAGAACACTGCCAGCGCTCCGCCCACTCTCAGAGCGCTCTGAACAGAGCATCCATGCGCTTTCTAGACCTTGAGTTCTCTTTGTTGAAAATTTTTGTGTTGCTACATAGATTCCCTCCAAATTCCTGTTGATTCTCGAATGTCAGTCTGTGCTAGGCAGTCTTTCTTTCACTCTTGATCTCCAACAACACTACTTTTAATAATTACAATTCTTAAAGCTGTAATAATTAGTACGTTTGAAGTTGTCTACAAAGTCAGCATATAGATATATTCATGTGTGTGCGGATATATGCATATATTAAAAATCAGTTTCTAAAAAAACTCATCTCTTTAGTATCCTATTGTAACCATTTTACCAAAGTAAGGTATTTTTATCTGAGCTGCTCATCCAGCTTTATTTACTATCTGTCATTGCTACAAAAACTAATGGTTATCACCCAAGAAAATAAACCTTAGTGTCCTCAAACCCAAACCCAAAACCCATTGCCATCGAGTCGATTCTAACTCTCAACAACCCTGCGTAGGTCAGGCAAGAAGAGGAGCCACATTGAATAAGTCAGTGCATTGCAAGAAGTATTTCACTTTTTCTGTAGAAAGCATCTTTGACCTTACATAACCCAAAGGGCTCTTTTATGCCTTCCTTGAATGTTTTCGGGTCAGTTTTGTTGTTTGTGATCTATTACATTTTCTCTTTGCTCTTGGTCTTTTTTTTTTTTGGTACGATGGGGAGCATTGGGGGAGTGGTAATGCTATAAAAGAAGACTGAACGAACCAGTAGCACTTAGCATTTGCCTTTTAGGAGCACAGCACTAAACAGAGGACGCAGTCAATTGGGAGGTGTGGTTTTCTTCAGCCAGGCAAAGTGCCCCACCCTCTTTTTGTTTCCTGAGACGATATAGTGTAGAATAGACATCAAAATAGAAACATCTTAAATTTATTTTTAAAATCTAGATTGAAGCTTAGCTGCTAGAGTTTTTGAGGGGTAGATTTTCTGCAGAGTACTGGCCC